GCCCGCCACATCCAGTAGTCACACCGGTGCGATTGTAGGTGGTGTAGTCGGCGGTGTCGGCGGTCTTATCCTCCTCCTCGTCGCGCTCTTCTTCCTTTGCCGCAGACGCAAACGTAGCGACTTTGATGGTAATTTCGATCCCGACCGTGTCGCGCGTGACGGTGCTACTTTGCCCGAGGTAGACCTTGCAGGTGCAGACGACGTTACCCCATATACACTCGACCCCTCGAGGAACGGTGCACCCTCTTCTGTGCCCGACAGCGACCAAATGCGTCAATACAGCAATGCGCCCGCCTTCCTTGCGGGCGGACTCGCCGGTGCAGGTGCCGGTGCAGCCGCCGCCAAAGGTCGCCCACAGCCGTCTACGGTTCCCTCTCAGTACTCGCAGTCGCAGTATCCCGCGTCGTCTGGCGAAGCTTATTCCGGCTACGCTGGCTATTCCCAAGGCCCTGGCTCGTGGTCTGGGCACAGCGGCCCTTCAAGCCCGGGTGCGAACATGACCGGCCTCCCCGGCGAATTCCGCCAGCCGTCTCCTGGCCCGTCGATCGCGATGACTAATTCAACCGTCCCATCTGGCTCAGGCGGCGGTGGCGTTCTACCATCTTCGAAGGAGCGTGAAGCGATGAACCGTCAAGGCCTGCAGGTGACCAACCAGGGCGATATCGTCCAGCACCAGGATGGTGGCAGGCTTGATCCGACGCAAGAGGAGCATATCTCCAACGAGGTTCCGCCGCGATACGATCAGATCCCCCAAGATCGTTGAACGGCTCGTGAGATGTCTGAATAGTGAGCTGATGGTGAGTTGATAAGTCCCTTGTACCCTTCTGCGTTGATCATGCTTACATCAGGGACTAGATGCGCGCCGAGGACGTTTTGAGATTGCGAAGGGTCGTTGATGCTGTTTGCGTTATTTCCTTTCAATGCTATACTCACACTGTGATGCTGATAAAATTAACGACATGCCCTATCTCATTCTCGCTCGCCTCCTCACACCCAGAGATTAACGACGTATGTACACTACTGCCTTAGATCGTCGTAAACTCGTAATCGCACACCCCATTCGCTCTTTGCACGCAGTAGGTAGTGTCTGTATGGACTTTGGCTCATGACGATTTATTCTCAAGTTAGTCATAATGTCAGTTAGTTGACTATTTTGCTGGGTGCATAACGTGCATCCCGTTTGCTATCTCTGCGATCGGCTCATCAGTCGGAGTGAGTGGCCTCTGATTCTGTCTGTTGACACTCATCAGTCTGCTGTGTTTCTCCACGGGGAAGAATGTCCAAATCATATTTATTCGACATTGTGTAGAGCGAGACTCTTTACGAGGACGAAATACATGAAAATCGGTACGCAGCGTACAAACGTATCTGTTCACACACTAACAATCATGGACCATTATCCTTCCATTCTAGAGGTCATTATTAAGGAGTGTCTGCGGGAGATCTCAAACGAAGCCGAGCTGTGCGCCAAGTCGCTCAAGGAGCTGCAAGGAATCTGCGTACCGTGCTGTTGTGGATTCTGTCTCATCTTGCAGGACTGCGGTGAAAGCCTGGTCCACCGTTCGTTCAATTTACTCCACCAAGACCACGGCGCGGTGATCAACAGATGTTGGCATTCAACAGTGATTACGGACTTTACATGGATTTAGAACTATAGTACAGCACCCCTCATTGAAGTCCTCGAAATTCTTTGTGGTAGGCATGTACTACAGTGATTTTTATCTAGAAAACGTCGCGGTTGATCAAGATGGGGCTCCGACAGCCTTTTATCATTATATGCATTGATGATTTTGGGTCCACCGTACGGAAAAGATGCGCACACCCGATTCGGCGGCCCATGCAAATGCCATGTATTGACATTGGCTGGAAGTTGCACAGAGGTCTTGTATACGATAGTGAGGACACAGATTTATTGCTTGTCATGTACAATTTTCTCCACTTCCTGACCACAGAAGCGCATTTTAATTTCTGAATGCTGGGTTAATTTCACGAGACAATGTAATCGAGTGCTCTACTGTTTATCGACGGGAGCGAACCATGCGTGGAAATTAGCAGAGTGCAATCAGTACAGTGAAGCATTAACGGCAGAAGGGATGGCTATCGATGATCGCCACTCCCTCCCCCAAAGTCCGTCACAGCATATTATACAGACATAAGTATAAAAAATCCGACTGTCACTACCTGTCAGAAAAATGTCCCGAGTTGAGAGCGGATCAAGTGCATGCAGTGTACGTAGGTGAGCGCAAGTGCAAGAAGTGACTAGATGCAAATGGAAAGTCCGATGTGTGTGGATAATAGAAATGCAAACCTAAAGAACCCCCCGACCAAGGTCGGAGATCACAGTGCCTCGCCCATTGAGAATTCACCTAGATCGTCGTCCTGCGATGGACGGCGTTGCGGGGGTAAACTCCTGCTCGCATTGGGCGGACTCGCAGCTGTAAGGATTGACGCCGTCTCCGAGCCCATATTCGTCACGAACAGTGGACTTTGCCACGTCGGTGCTTGTGGAGACTCTGGCATCTGGGGAACCGTTTGATCAAGCGGAAGCGGTGCATCCAGAGGTGCCGCACTAGCAGATGCCTCGGTCGCGCCACCACCCACTAGTCTCACAGCCGGGGCTGCAGCAAGACCCATATGGATAGGCCCACCAGATACCTGTCGTTCCGCCGCGGTAGGCCCCATAACGTCGTCCACGATCCTGGTAAGGTCGTCTGTAGTTGACGCGAGCGGATCGATGAAGCCTGCGCGTGGGGGAGGCCATACGCCCTCTTGGAAGAGGGAGCCCGACTCGGATGCCCGTAGGCCAAGAAGGTACGGGGATGGCATCCGTGCATTGTGTGCCTGCATAGTAGCGTCGGCCGGTGTCATGGGCAGATCATTGAGCGAGCCGGCGTTGTAGGACGTCGCGCGGGAATGGGTCACCATCGAGTTGGGGTAGTCGCGATAGCTTTGCGTCGGAGGCCCCAGATCGTAGTCGTCGTTGTCTTCGCCTGCGAGGAGCAGGCTGCGCGGCTTCGCCTGTGGGCCTTTGAAGAAATTCAGCTTCTTGTGCTGGTGTCGCCGGTAGAACATGATCATGGCGAACGCGAGCACGAGGAGCGCACCGACGCCGACGACACTACCAGCGATAATGCCCTTATTAGTCGCATCCGATGTTGTGGATGCAGGTGCGCTGAGAGTGGTGACAATCGCAACAGGTGTCTGAAATGAGTGGCATAAGGATCCATATTGTTATGGATCATACTAACGTACCGTTGTGCGTATACCATTAATGGTCGTCACCTCAGAAGATGTGATGGTAGTGAACAGACTCCCGGAATTAGCAGTGGGACTTGGCGTCCATGTCGACGATGAACTAGTGGAGGTGTTTGCTGGCGACCAGCTAGAGGTGGTAGTTGAGCTTGACGTGGGAGAAATGGAGGTGGAGGTGGGAGAATGTATTGGTGAAGACGTAGGCGAGGTTGTTGAAGATGAAGAGGCCGTATTAGAGGAAGACGATGAAGATGAAAGACTGGAAATAGATGTCTCATGAGTAGAAGATGACGTCGAAGTCGACGTAGTGGATGTGGATGTTGTTAAAGAGGCCTGGCTACAGGATCACTCAAAGTCGTGAATAACCACTCCCCATACCAGGACAAATTCACATACGACGAGGTAGAAGTAGACGTGCTAGTAGTTGAGGTGCTTGAATCAGTTGAAGGGCTGCTTGTCTCACTGGTACCACTAGATTCCGTACTTGACGTCGAGCCACTGCCAGCGGTGCCATCTGACGTTGGGGCAGATGCAGCTTGTGTAGGAGTCGAATTCGATTGTGAGGTGCTCCCCGCAGCGTCAGAGCTTCCTGGTGAAGGTGTCTGTCTCACAACGAGCATATTCTATGCGCGGATTTTCAGCGTGAGCCAAGCGTGGAGGGAGACGGGCAAGGCTCACCCGAAGCTGCTGCGGGTTTGAGGTCGGTCCCGAGCGCAACGTGATCCCTCTCCGCTTTCTCACAGGTATTGGCACACTCGAAGAAACCGCGAAATCCATAGGATGAGAAGGTAGTGGTGGAATTAGTGAAGTAAAGAGGAGAAAGGACAAAAAGGAGACATAACCCGCTTGAGCGTCGTTGTTCTCCCGTAGCACATTGCACAGTCCGTACGGCTTCATCACGTGCGCAGCCAGTCGTCAACCAGTCGACAAGCCGCTCAGACGACCTTCATTTCGCAGTAACTGCGCCGCCACGCGCATATTGACTTCTTCGAGTTGCTGGCACATGCCTAGAATAGTGCCTGCAAACTGACCTCCATGCAGCTCTCCGCTAGGCCGTCTGTTGAAGATGAGACAACTGAACAACTCGAATATTGAACATTAGACGTCTCTCGTTCAAGTTGCGCTGGTTGTCCGATTTGGACTGTATTATATACATGTGTTCGGAGCTACGGTTATCCAAGCCTTCTGAAGCAGTTCATCGTGAGCATTGTGCACGTGAAGATTGTTTATGCGCTCCTGGTGGGGATTTCGCGAATCACGACCTACTTTGCGGAGGCACTATCGGTCTCCAAAATGCCTTTGAACGTTCTGCTAGTCGGAGCGGGAGAAATCAATTTTGGTGAGCCAGTCATCCGAATCTGATAAACGTACACTGACTAATGTTTTCAATTGAACGAAACAGGTTCAGTGGAAGGCCCATGGAATCATGTAAGTGCCGTCCTCTGAACGTGTGAGTTCGATCTTACTAATCTTGGTTAGACACTGCGACTTGAGCGGTGTGTACGAGTCTTCGCTACGCTCGTATCGCCACAACTGAAGGACCATTCACCAGGAAACTTGGGACTTCTTTGACAGTAGTCGCTCTGGTCGACCCCGACGTGGAACGCGCGACCGCTGCATTGAGTACTAAGCTTAAAGGGAGTTCTGCTAGCTCGTATCTACAATGCGAAATATTCTCGACCGTCCAAACTGCGGCGAATGCTTTGTCGGAGGCAAATATGCCAAAGTCAGTGGATCAACGGTCATCATGATCTCTAGTACATTTAACTCAACCTGACTCGAGGCTAATCATACTCGGAGCGCCTCCATCTGTTCGGGGTTCTGACATACCCGGTCGTGACCTCGAGATTCAGATAATCGGTGCATTTCCCGGCTCCGCACTCTTCGTAGAGAAGCCGCTAAGTAACGGGCTCGAAGATGCATGCCAGCGTGTAGCAAGGAGAGTTCAGCAGGCGAGGACTCTTGTTAGTGTCGGCTACATGCTTCGTTATTCCCAAGGTCAGTACTAGCTTTTGTTCCCAGTTGTCTCGCACGCTTTGTCTACTTTGACGCGCAAGCTGTGCAAATGATGAAGTGAGGACGCCTGCCTGATAGCCCCGGCCGCGCGTGACCTGTTTTTCAGGAAGATTATCCGGGACAACAATCTGGTTGTGATGGGCACGAACGCAAGATACGTGATGGCATAGTGAGTGTCATTCTCCCAAGGATCCTTGATACTGGCAATGCCCACAATTTAAGTGAATATGCCAGGAAGCTCGTGCGTATCTATCACGTTTGCAATATTATACAGGTCTAACATAGTGCATTCTTTATGTTGTAGAGCTGGTGGGATAAGACGTCGTCGGGTGGCCGTGCGTATCCTAGTCAGCGCACCCACTGTGCTGTATAGAATCACTCATTAGGGTTTCCATGCAGCGATCGTCGAGCAAGCAACTCATTTCTGTCAGATCACACTTCTATACATCTAGGATTGGGCTCAACATTTATTGATCCTTAGGCGACTTGTCTCGTTACTTTGGGGGCGACATACGCCTTCCCTCCATCGCCGCTCGTACCGTTGAACATAACGAGCCAGCCGGATTCCTATCTGCGAAACGATTTGACGAGGATAACATTCCACCGGATAACCGCCTCCCGCGTCTCACGAGTGCAACGTGGAAATACATCAATGGCGCCGTTGGTTCACTAACGCACGCAATTGTTCTTCATGGTAATACCAGCTTTTCTATCAAGCCTCGAGATTAGCTTGACCTTCGTGATTAGGAACCTTATATGATACCGAATTTGAGGTATATGCAGATGGATATCGTCTTAAATTGATTGATCCCTACAACGCACCTATCTTGTCTGTGCGCAGACCGGGGATCACTTATGAGGGTATGTTTCTATTGATCATCAAACAATCTTCAGTTTCGCTCATACAGGACATGCAACTTCACCAGAAATATTCAAGTTTACCGATGTACATCCTCATACCAACTCATGGATCGACTGCTCTCTGATATCATGCAGGATGATCCGTTCTTCACTGAGATGTCCAGTATGATTGACGCAATCGATCACCCCGAAGCTCAGGGAGCCATTCTCAGCTCGTATGAGGATGCAGTCAAGACCCACGAATTTGTGAGTACCTTCATAATATCTTTCCACAATCGTGGTCTTCAGCTGCTTGTACAGACGTGGCACATTCGGAGATCTAGCGAAGCTGCTGCTCGTGCAGAACGTGAGCAAGGTGGATCAACTGCTCACTAACGTTAGATGGCTATCACTGCTTTAGTGTATGTCATGCATCGCATTGCTGAGCGTGGACAAACATAATGAACTTGCACTTGACTCGCCCGTCACGAATATGATCAGCGCTGATTGATGCCATGCTACTGCCGGATGTTGTGACCCCTCCGAAAATTCCTTTCCTGCCTCTGGCTGTCTGTTCTTCGCGTATGCGTTGGCACGTATCTTGGCTTTGAACGTACACCTAGTTGACAACTTATGCACTTAGGACGACTTAACTTGCTTGCTGGCCCACTCTTTCACTGGCTCGCCCGTTCCCTGTGCCTGGTTCTCATTCGCACGTCGCCACTTTCCTGCTCGCCCAGACACCTAACGGCTGTACCTCGGTCTGGACTACACTGGCCTGACTGTATGTTGGCTGGTTGAGGCATGGCAGGATCTTGTCGTGGAGCGGACACAACGAAAAAACTCGGACATCCCTAATTGAGGTATGTCACCATCAAGATAATATGCAATACAGTACCATAAGTCAAATACCAGCACCTCAAGACGATCAGTCTGCACAGAAGACTCATCCATTGTGACGCTGAATACGACATTCAAGAGCATTAACTTGAATGAGCGTATAGCCTTCACTGATGGTGTCAAAATTGCAGAAATGGACGAGCTTCATAATAGACGCGAAGAAGTGGAGGAACATAAGAGGTTGAAATGGGAGGGCAGATGCGCCATGATGACGAGAATATGGAGAGTGTGGTGGCATTAAACACGGCGTCCGCGAGGAGCATTGGGGCATGATATGCAACCTGGTCAGAGTTGAAGGAGGGCGGGAATAGCTGAGAGTGCGCAAAAGCAACTAGGCACCCTCGGAAGTAGTACTTCCGAGGGTGCCTAAAATCAACGGCGCGAACCTGTGCATCGCCAGTGGCCGTGAAAGCTGCAGCCTGCGATTTGTCATCACATTCAAGCACATCTGTTTGCGCACTAATGTGGGCTCGATTCACCTGCTTACGCATTTACTGTCGTGGAGGTGGAAATGGGAGTCCATCTGTCGAGCCGCGACAGCGCGGCGAGGTCCTCCCGAGCTGGAATTGAGTTTTATCGGATCGTGTTCGTTGTGCGATTTGCTTCATCTCGATCGCCTTTCCCCTTCCAGTTGGTGACTGCGACCGCCTTTGATATTTTCCGGTCTCTAGGTTCAGGACGATCGTGTGGCGCTTTCACAAACACGAAGAAGCTCGCGGAGCGTGAGCAACTGACTCATAAATTTCAGTCAACTGTCTTTGCAAAGTTGGCACACGGTGCATCGCTGGACGTGAAGACTTGTAGTTATGTTGGACCTAACATTCTGATTCAGCCACACATTGTCACAGGCATGCCAACGTGCAGGGAGTTATTACTTTGAATGATGGGTGTACGTATATCATTTTTCTCTTCATTCAAGCTGCTCAGCTATGCGGGCTTTTCCAGCCTTTAAATGTACACCGACTGTGAGGACACGACTGGGGAGAGCTTCGTATTCGTTCTCAATCGATTTCGATTAATTTTTTTTCTTCAAGGCGAGCGTCTTATCACAAACAAAGTATGAAGGTCGTTAGCATACTGGCAATTCGCGTACGCCCAGTGACAATAGCATCGCGATCGTCGACTCCTATACATGTCAGTGGCATCTCCTCCACAATTGCCCTAACGAACGATGTGCATTAAGGATAAGCTATGTTGCTCCAATCCGATACCCGGACGCCGGGTGTATAGGTACTCAGATGGTTCCATGATGAACTTCTTATCACAAATATGAAGGTACAACAAATTTTATTCATCATCCGCGTCTCAGCGATATTTACGTCGTCGACTACTGCATATGCTAGGTGATCTCGCTAACGCCATATTAGAACCAATGCCCCAGTGACATACAAGCGGTAAACTTACATTTGCTCTCTTATGTGCAGTACGCGCCATCAGTGGTCACGACGCAGCATGTATTGCAGGCACAGCCCGCCACATACACGAACTCATTTACAGGCCCACATTCATATATGAAGGCGTTTCCGCCGTTGAGACTGGGGACGTTATTCGCACACCCTTCACCACCTGCACACGGCCGTCAGCTCTGCGTTTAAGACGTGGTAGATATTGGCACATGAATGATATAGAGACCTTACCTTGCGGGGTGCATGGTTGGCCGATGGGGTTGTATACGTCAAGAACAGCAGCCATGGCCACAGCGGGCATGAGGACAGCGGTGAGTAAGACGAGCTTCATGGTTGTTGAGATAAATGCCGATGTGAATGCAGGTCCTGTTGCCAACTGAGTGCGTTTGTGTCGCTTTAAATATGCAGGCCACGCGCCAATGTTGTGCAGAAGTGACGCCAAATAGAGTCCGAATCCGAATACGCAGTGTTAGAGGTTTGACAGCCTGAAATGTGCGGCGAACTCCAAGCGCACAGTGATGGTGTCAAGAATATTTTCCAAATGGAACAATGACTGCATCTACACAGGTTCATTGTGACATATATACCCTGCAGGGATCAATGCCTGATGTCAGTAGATCAGCTTGGACTACATATGTCCCCCATCGTCAAAAGAGGCGCAAACTTTTCCACTCTCGGTGTTTCCACCATTGATGTGCATCGCGTGCCCCGAGCATCTCATTGCTTACAAGCGTCCATTAACATTCAGCTAAATTGTCTGCTTCTGCCCCTACGTGCAGTACGTGCCGCCGGTGGTAGTGACACAGCCGACAGACGCAGCCCTCAACGTAAGCGAACTAGTCTAAGGGTTCGCATTCAAATGTGGAAGAATTTCCGCCGTTAACACTGTCATCCGGGGTGCACCTGTACACAACCATCAACACGATAGTACAGCCGTTACTATCCATGTACTCCTTTACAGGTCAAAGCACTCACCAGTACCAATAAAGCTGGCCAACAGTATCATATATGCGAGTAATACTAGTTATTGTGGAGACAATCGTGGGGTCTGAATCTATGAAAAGCATCGCATGACTTGCTGCAGTGCCCGGTGAAGCCTATGATTGGATTTTGGCAGCGTGTAACGCACGGCACGCCGTTTCAAAGCGCGCATGTATGGTATCAAAGGCATCATTTGAGCTATATATGTATCAATCACGCACACATCAGTCGTACAATGCGCGCCCATGATGCGATGATCGGGTTGGGCTATTGGGGTGGGTGCGGTAGTGGCGCTTTCTACTTAGATGAGGGCTCAACCGGGCTCGAGCGCTCCTCTTCAGGACCGAAACATGTGCATACGACTAGAGGATCACTAGAAGTATGAGGAGTTGTCCTTTCAGGAACGTCCCCGAATCGAAGGTACAGTACTTTCTCGACACTTCATTTTCAACTCAGAAAGACCCGAGCGAGCGAGAGCATCTCGATACTTACTAGGTTCGGCCGAGGCTATAATCAGAGCATCATTGATGCCATCTAATGATTGCACTGTATAAGACTTGACATGGCCATATAGACCCGAGTCAATGTTGCAGTCTAGTCACCTTTATTTGACTCCGAGGTTCCCGTTAAGAGGAGCCTGAATAATCCTAGAATTACCGACATGGGGAGCTCCGAGCTAGATCCCCGAACTTCGGCTGAATTTGGGGTCAGTTGCTCTTCATGTTGGATGCCAAAGACCGCCGAAACAAGAGTCCCTGGTTGGACCTCCGGGAGTCCGGTCCCATAGCCGCTGAATTGGAGGCCTCACCAGCAAAATATCACTGATCCAGAATGGCCAAACGCTTTATAAGTCATCGAGCAAATGGAGAAAAGCTGCTTCAAAAAATTAAGTAATCATTATTATTTGAAATATTCTATATGAAATTGCTACAATGCGATGCACATTGTGCATTCAGCGCTTTTGAGATTTTATGCAGTTACATTAACAATATTGATGGGGAGTATCGATAACATATGGATTAAAACTATTAAAAGAAATACGCAGTAATTTATAGCGATTTGATGAGATTCGATTCCATTTTGAGCCAGAAATCGACCAATTTCCGGAGCATATGTGCCACCAGGCCAGAACTTTGGGCAGATTTTGACCTCTGACTGCCAAAAACGAGTGTCCGAAGGATCGAGGCTCATAAGGCATTATCCGGGGTCCTACTACGCCTCTGCTCGAACTGGGAATCTACACGTGCCAGCAATCGCCGACCTCACAAAAAACATTGTGATTCTTCAAGACGTAGCGGCCTTGAGTGGCCTTGAGCGGGAGCTATGGTATTAATACAGAGCAAAGACAATAAGAACCGTACTGAATGGGGATAGAGAAGGATAAAGGAGGGCAGTGAGTGATAAAAAGAGAATAATAGACCACGAATTCTATACATAAACACTGTGTAAGGGCCGAGTCTCTACAGGAAACGACGTTCCCGAACTCACTTAGCTGTACCAGCGTTCTTTGCCATGTCCCATTTGCTCCTTAGGCCGCCTAAAGCAAGTCGGTTAGCTATGCGGCAGGCTACTGCAACCCAGAAATGTACACTTAGGATTATACCGATACAACACCGGGTGAGAGAGCCTCGTATCCACTCTCAATCGTCTTTGATCCAAAGCAATTATGTCGAGTCACGGACAACTTCAAGTAATCACATTGAACAAGGTACGAAGGAAGTTGTTAGCGTACTGACCATTCACGTACGCTCAACCACAATAGCATCACGATCGTCGACTCTTGTGCACGTCGGTGGCATCTCTGACGATCGCGCTGACGATGTATGTGCATTAAGAATCGGTCATGCTGCTTCAATCCGACACCTAGACGCCGGGCGTAAGGGCTCTCAGACCCAAAGCAATGCCTCCACGATGAACGTCTTATCACAAATATGAAGGTACGAAAATGATTATTACATCGACTATTGCATATGCTAGATGATCTTTTACAAGTCATATAAGAACCAATGCCCCAATCACATATAAGCGGTAAACTTACATTTACTCTCTTATGTGCAGTACGCGCCGTCAAGGGTCGCGACGCAGCATGTATTACATGCGCAGCCCGCAAGATACACGAATTCGTTTAGAGGTCCACATTCATATATGAAAGCGTTTCCGCCGTTGAGACTGGGGACGTTATTCGCACACCCTTCACCACCTGCGCACGGTTGTCAGCTCTACATTCAGGACACGGTAGCTATTGGAACGTGGATGGTGCGTGGTTTTTACCTTGCGTCCCGGGGCACGGTTGGCCGATGGGGTTGTATACGTCAAGAACAGCAGCCATGGAAGCAACAGGCATGAGGATAGCGGTGAGTAAGACGAGCTTCATGGTTGTTGAGATAAATGTCGACGTAATTGTAGGTTTTACTGCCAACTGAGCGCGTATAAGTCGCTTTAAATGCTCAGAACGCGCGCCTGTATCGTGCAGAAATGCCGCCAAATAGCGTTCTAATCCGAATCCGCAGTGTTAGAGGTTTGACAGCCTGGAATGTGCGGCGAACTCAAAGTGCACAGTCATGGTATCTTCTAAGCGGAACAATGACTCATCTACGCGCGTTCCTTGTGTGCCGTATATCCTGAAAGGATCAACGTCGGATGAGCGGATCAGCTAGGAGAACATATGTCCTTCATCATCGCGAAGGGCGTCAGCATTTCCGCTTTTTCAAAATTTTGTTACCACCAATTATCACGCATTGGGTGGATCATACAGCTCACCGATTATATGCGTGCACCAGAACCAGGACTACAACAAATAATGTCTGGCTCAGTCGTCTGAGTGCACCTGTGCACGACCATCAACACGATATTGCAGTCTTTAAAGTTCATTGTACTCCTTTACAGGTCAAAGCACTCACCAGGAGTACCGTAAGGCTGGCCAACTGTGTTGTACGCGCGAGTAATACTGGTCATCATGGAGACAATTATGAAATCCGAATCTACAAAAAGCATCGCACAACTTGCCGCAGTGCCTGATGAAGCCTATGTGATGGTAGGAGGATGTGATTGGATTTTGACAGCCTGGAGCGCGCGGTGGGCCAGTTCAAAGCGCGCATTTATGGTATCAAGAGTGTCATTTGAGTTGAGTAATTATAGCGTACTCACATCAGTCGCACAATGTGCACCCATGATGGATAGTTGGGTCGTGCTGCTAGGGTATGTGCGGTAGTGGTGCTTCTTATTCTTACTCAGACGATGCGATGGCTCACCTTCAGCACCGAAACATACGAACCGGTCGTTACTAGAACTAGAAGAGTGAGTGGTTATCGTTTTCAGGACCGGCCACGGACTGAGAGCACAGTACTTTCTCAACAACACATCATGTCGCTCAGAAAGGCGCGAGCGCCAGAAAGCATCTCGATGCTAGACTCGGGGCTATGATCAAGCATCAGTGATGCTGTATAATGACAGCGCTGTGTGCGACTTAACATCAGTGGCAAATTCTCTGTCGTTGCAGAGCGGCCGGATGAATAGGCCAAGCAGCGAGGCTCACTCTGGCGATGCCGGACTACATTAGCTAATGCAGAGCCAAAAATTTTAATATAGATGAACATGGCCATATAGACCCGAGTCAATGTCGTAGCTAGTCATTTATATTTGTCTTCGGTATCCACACTGAGAAATGATGACATTAAAACACTATTACGCCTCCGAAATCGAGTCAAACTCATACCGATCGCGCCACCGTCAGCTCAGAGAAACAGAGAAGCAGATGTGAACCAACGGTGCGACTGGTGACAAATTCCCAGTTGCTAATGTGCATTGTATGTTCATTGAGAGCGAAAATTAGAGCAGAATACCTACTGGCGTGCACGTGTAACGCCACATGGCTCCATACTATTAGAATATCTGCGCGAGGAAGCTTGAGAAGCTACTGCAATTTCACCAGGACGGCATGCTCTATTCCAACAGACATAGGATAGACGATCCGAATCGCGCGCGCTATGAGCGACTACGATGATGCAGCAACACCTGTAAAGTGGTGCAGAAGGCTCGAACCAGGTGACAATTTGTCTGTAAAGTCTTTGCCAATATATCATCCTCTTGATAGTGACCAAGAAGTAAATGCAATGAGGACGGCTTGATCCCGTTCTGATGCATACACTCCGGCGCGTCTGAAACCTCAAACAGAACTAAATCAGCCGCGATACGTCGACGAAGAATATGATAAATTAAGTGGAATGATATAAGATAAGCGTTGCCAGAGCCCTGTGGCATACTCAATCAACCTTCCTTGCCCACTTCCTCCCGGTTGGGGTCCTCGGCGACTGCGGTGGTACAATAACTTCAACCTGGGGGCTCACAGCTCGCCACTGTATCTTCTCTTTTTCATTCGGCGGGATGGTAAGCGGGGCCTTACCCAATTCTTCCTTCTCGTCCATCCCCCAATACATCCACATCTGTGCGCCGAGAACGCAATTCAGGACAAGCGCAAGGGCAAAACCAGCGCTGATAAGCAGATCGCCCACTTCGGTTGCAGTGGTGAACAGCCGAGCGAGACAGCCACCGATCTGCGCAATTACGGCAAAGGCAGAAAGCTGACCAGTGCTTTGGGAGCGGTGGTTTTGGCGGATTTGAGGCAGCTTAGAAAAGAGAGACAGAGGAAGCGTCGCGATCTGCAGAGGAGCGAGCGCTGAAACGGGTAGCGCAATGAACGCACATGCAGCGAGAACCATTGCAAGCACGGCGGAAGCAATTCGAGGTGCAGGTGATTGCGTACTGGTGAGCTGACGCGGGGACTGATAGAACATGATTAAGAGAGTGATGATGGCGTTCTGAATGGTCAAGAACAAGTTCTCGCCATATGTGGAGAACGGAAACTCGTTGCGGTAGGAGTAAGCAAGGGTTATTGCATACGATAGTGTCTCGAGGATGTACGCGGGGAGAGAGAGACCACGCGCAGACTGTGCGGAGAGAACTACAGCCGGTGAATTTAAAAGCTTATGTTAGGCATTTGATCGCAACTCACTGAGGATCAGCTGGGGCACTTTCATGATGGAACCCCCAACAACGATGCCTACTCCAAGGCCTTTGGAAATCGAATATTTGATGCATACGAAGTCATTGAAGTCCAGGTTTTCGATCAAGCTAACGTAGCATTTCTGATGCGTTACATGAGCCGAGAACACGAGGAAGGAGGGGACTGACGAATTACCTGGCCGACGACGGAAATGCCGAGGTCCTTGACAAACCAGGGTAAATTTCGCGTAATAGAAGTCATAGAGTGTGTGTATAGACCAGCAGCACCGATGTGAACGTAGTTTGCAGCAAAAGTGTCGTTTGCCTCGCGTACGTGTCTCCCAAATGAAGCGTGGGCGTGCACGTGCGGGGAACTTTACCACTTTTGGAAATCTGATTTTTTGTCCCTCTTGCGACTTTAAGTCGTAGATATATTCCGTCTTGCACGCTCAAGATGGCCGAGTACGATCTCACAAAAACGGTCATCCCATACTGCGATCGTCATCTTGTCTTTCCGCTGCTTGCACATCTGGTGGAAAATGAGCAATTCCCTGCTAAGGAGGTTCAAGCGGCGCAGTATGAACTCGCGAAGGAGACTAACATGGTCGATTACGCCGTGGGCCTATTCCAACAGTTGCATCCTGACAATGAGGTACCCGAAGGTAAGTACCTATGCCTATCTACCGTCTTTGATCCTCAATTTTTTCAGAATTTGCGGGGAAGCGTGAAAAGGCAGTTTCAACAAATGAGCGGCTGCAACAAGAGGCACAGGCCGTCTTGAATGTTATCGAGAATCCGGAGGTAGCCCAATCGCTACGTCAAGATAAAAATCAGAATCTGCAATACCTGAGAGAACATTACAATGTACACATATTGTTGCTGCTACAATGTTTCTGATACTAATATCTTTGTCCTAGGTCACGCTCGAGCAGATCAACGCTCTCTACAACTTCGGCCAGTTCCAATATACGTACGGAAATTACAGTGGCGCTGCGGACTATCTATATCATTTCCGTGTCCTTTCCACTGATCCTGATCTGACAATATCGTCTCATTGGGGAAAACTTGCATGCGACATTCTCACCGGAAAGTGGGACGTCGCTCTCGAAGAGCTGAACACTCTTCGCGAATCGATCGACTCCCGCGCACCCTCTGTTCCCGCCTTCTCGTCCACATCCTCCTCTTCCTCTGCCGATCCCGCGCTATCGCAGCTACACTCCCGAACCTGGTTACTCCATTGGTCTTTATTCGTTTATTTCAACCACCCTCAAGGGCGCACCCTTCTCCTCGAAACCTTCCTCAATCCTGCGTACCTCAACACTATACAGACCTCTTGTCCTTGGATTTTGCGCTATCTGGCTACCGCCGCCGTGCTCTCGCGCAAATCCGTTTCCGGTGCTCTTTCTTCGCGTGTACGGCACTCGATTCGTGAAGTTGTCAAGGTCATTCAGATGGAGGAGTATCAATATCAAGACCCCATCACGGCGTTCTTGAAGGAGCTCTACGTCGAATTCGACTTCGAGGCTGCACAACGAGAACTCAGCCTCGCGGAGCGAGTAGTAGCCAACGATTTCTTCCTCGGCGAGTTTAGGGACGACTTCATGGATAATGCCCGTTACCTGATCAGCGAGGCTTACTGCCGGATACACCAGAGGATCGATATTAGGTTCGTCATGCCACAGTTCTGATTGGCCGATGATCCTCATCCCCATGTCCAGTGACCTCTCCGAGCGGCTGAATCTGTCAAAAGACGAGGGCGAGAAGTGGATCGTGAACCTAATCCGTGAAACTCGTATGGGTGCAGATGCTAAAATTGACTTAGAGAAGGTCAGTTGAATACCACTATCTTACATATTCATATTCTTATCTTGTTCCAGAACGTTATTGAGATCAGTAGGCCACCATTGCCGGTTTACCAGTCTGTCATCGAGAAGACGCGTGGGCTTGCATTCCGCACGCAAGCTCTTGGCGCAGCCATGACACGTACTCAAGTGCCTGTTCCCCAGGAGGATCCTCAGCCCATGATTGTAGAAGGCGCCCGCTGAGGATTAGGCCAATGGGTGACTTGACGGTTGCTTGCCGTGTTGTATTGGTTGGAAATTTGTTGTTTTCTTATACGCTTCGAATGAATTCATGTGGCTGCACCGTCTATGAGCACCGCTGGTGCATATGGATGCCGATTTGAAGTTCACTTGGAAGTCATACAGCTGAAATTTGGTTAAACTGGCGTTCCAATCCATTCACATGGACGGAAAGGTAGTGGTGCTTCTGCTTGGAAACCTTGTCGCTACATCGCCGACCGCATGCTGTAATTCCATCTCTGTATCGAATGCCCAACTGCGCCGAAGGTAAGCTTGGCCTCTTTTACCATCATGCAATGACTATTTATTGATACTTCTTTGAGTGACATGCCATATCTCCATTCTTCACACCAACAACATATGCTCCTCCTCAGACAACCCCAGCGCCAAGGCTTATGAAATCACTTGCAAGCTAAGCATTGTGCTCGCCTGTCATTGCTTCGCCTTGCTGTGTGCAATGTGTCAGCTTAAACTAACGAATGGGGTACAGCTGTGCCATGGAGCCATTAGGCGCGACACCGGCGGGTTGTGAGTAATGTTTACCCTTGATTGCATCCCTGAGTATTCATGTTGAAGTGAATTCACTCGCACTTTTAAAGTATCAGGATACAATGCATTAGCGGAATATTTGCAAGCAGATGCATTTCGCTCATCTTCAAAGTCTCACTGTCTATTTTACCTACCATCAGATTACACTGCCCTGGGCGTAATGTGCACATTTTGTTGTGAGCATGGTTTGAAGTTGCATGAGCTACTGCACGATCCCGTGTACTAAGCGTCTGCAGCATGCGCTGCAACTAGTTTTCCATCACAGATGGCGATGAAGTCCATGTTACCGCATGATGTTAACGACGGGGCTCGAAATCAGTTTGTAGCTAGGCAATCTTCCGCGACGAGCGGACCTCGCCAATAGGTAAGACGCTACAAGGCGGATGCTTTCCTCGTACGCGGTATTTACTCGCGCATTGCATTACAGAGACAAAGCTTGACTGAGATGAAACCATCTCAGTAAACAGAGTAGCTGATTCAATCTTGTACCAGAATGGCAGACCAACAATCTAAATTATCGGATCAATCAGTATAATACGTGGGATGTCATTTCTAGTCGGAAAGTGGCTCGTTTTGTCCTAGCAAAGCGGTCACTTGATGCTTCTGCGCTTTGCGTGCTAACGATGCGCCACTTTCCTCTAGGCTTGTCGGAGGACCCTCATGTCGCCGCTGACATTTAGCATCACAGTGGAGTGGTTGCTATATTGGTGCACAGAATCTGGTCGAAGCTGAATGGTATAAAAGCCGTGGATTGTACCTCTAGCTATCCATCCCCATCTCATACATCACACTCAGATCGCTCAGATAATTCGCAGTCAACATGAAGTCCTTTTTGTCTGTCTTCATTTTCGCTTCGTTCGCGGTGACCATGGTTTCTGCGGCTGATTATGCAGTTCGTTTCCTATTCCTCTGCGTTCCTTGCGGCCATTTAGGTTAATCCCCCATTCTGTAGGCCTATTTCTACCCCAACTACGATTGCAGCGGTGAGCAATATTCTCCTTAGAGTTTGCCTGTGCTGAATGCAGTCTTTGATTAGGTGAGGCTACTTTGGACTGCGTTGGCGATATCGGACAGTGCTGCAATGCTCCTTCTGGCCCCAACTCCAACTCTGTCTATATTGAATATGTTGGCAGCGGTTCTTTCGGTTCATGTAAGTTTTACATATCAGTATGTGGTTGACGTAGGTCTAATACCTCTTCCTTTGAAGTGAATTGGGCTATTTCCGCGGTTCCCGGTTGCTCGCAAATTGTGCAATTTGATACTCAGTATACTGGATCCGGACCGTTTGGGACGGGATGTTACAATGCGCATGAGTATGTCCTCCGTGGTGTCCTGTTTCTGTCAACATAATACTGATCAATCACACTTGCAGTGCATCCGTCGGCTCTGTTGCATACTATGCCCCAGAGCCGTAGATAAGATTGAAACTACATAGCTATATCTTCTCAAATACATGTAATCGATGTAGCTCCGCAAAGTAACACTGACAAGATCTACTTAGTGGTTGTGTGACGGCTGAAAGAAATTCATGGGAAGCATGAATTTTTGGATATTGGCCAAGTTCTGTTGGTCCTTGCGAGTTTACAACTTTGAACATGATCAAGATTTCCAACTCCCAGCCGGGACCACGCTCCGTCACGACAACTCGGCCCCCTTCCTATAAATGTTTTACTTTCCTTGACATTGCATATCTTGACGTGACCGGACCTCCTATCCACTGCCATACATTTCGCCATAGTTCTCAGATATTCGTGTAAATCTAAGTCTTTGTTCTGTCACCCCCGCCGCTACTAAAATTGCTTCGATATAGGTGTATTAATATCATGAGTCCATCATGGCGTTTTCGAAAGTGGTAGAATTCGTCTTCGAAGTTCGAGGCCGCATGATAAGGGCTGAGCTTCGCGAAGCGCGCAGTTGTCTTTCTCTCCGGAGAGTTCATCTAGTAGTGAGTTCGAAATCCGAAGTTTATCCGATGACCTTCATCTCCATCACCCAGCGACCTCTGGAGAAAAAAAGAGCGATTGAAGTTGTCGAAAGACGAGGGCGAGAAATGGGTTATTAATCTTGTCCGTGGGACTTTTTTCCCCCTTTAATGTCCACGAGGGCCGAGCCCTATGTAGACAGTAAATACAATGTATAACACGTACGAGAGCAGTAGTCGCAATCGAAACGAAGCATTGAGGACACGGCCCGGGGTGACGCGGGGCGTGACGGGCGTCGCTGAGGTACGGTAAGTGGCCGAAAAGAATCTGAAGACATAGGTAAAAGAAAGAGAAGGAAAACTGCCGGGACCGGTACGGCGGACTTGTAAGAGCAGGCCCCGGCCATCGAAGGCAAGGGATGCGGTTCCAACCCCCCCGCTAGAGGGAATGTCGTCTCTCAAGACTGAGTCACAGCTGGGGGGATCCGGCCAGTGGTCCTCCACCAACGGTCAAAACTCCCCGTATCCCTGAGTCACACTCCGACACGCGCTCGGCCCGTTTAGGACGGGCAACGTACAGGAAAGGAGACGAAACGAAAAGGGGAAGCAGGGGGGCAGGGGCTGGGAAGCGAAGCATGGTGGCGGCCGGTACAGTCAGAGCAAGCGGTCAGCGAGCGCAATAGGGGGGGAAAACGCACGGGTAAGGTCCAGGGCCAATCACGGTTCCCTAACGACGTCTCCGAACGTGGTGTGGGACCGGCGTGTGTCATGGATCACCGAGCGCAGAGAGGTCTCTCCACGGGCATAATTCAGTATCCATTTTGTCACCTTAGAATGAAAATTGGATACATAGTGTCGTGGGATTTGCTGTGCTTTTGCCTGATCCTACCCATAGCCGCGAACGCAATTGCGCATCGGTCTCCTTCATATCCACGATTCATCATTATTACATAGTACACAGTTGTTTTGGGGGAATGACAGCGTTTTTCCTATGCTGCCTTTATAACAACCTCCTCATTCTCCCTCATGTACACTTTCGTACAGCATCGGATTCGACGGTGTGTGCCCGGTTCGTTCAGCCGAAGACAACGCCCGTAGCTGTCACACTGACTTCACAAAAATCGAATTGTGAAGTCAGTACGCCAACGCCTCACGCAAAGAAATATATGCAGCATTAATCTACCAAACATAATGGTTCATTTAAAATACATTCCCAACCAACACGAGCAGTGCCCGCCGTTCAGCAGTCTCCATATCGCGCGAGGTCTAGCGCCAGAGACTGCGCACTTCCATAAGGGGGCCAGCTGCCCGAGAGTGAGGCAACAGGGTGCGGAGGGAGCTCGCCGCCCGTCCTAGCTTGCGCTGGAGCACAGCGCGCGGCCTGCGGTAAGTCGGGCATTCTAAGAGGTAGTGGCAGACGGTTTCAGGTGCTAGTCGACAGGTTGGACATCGGGCGTTGTCTGCACGGTGGATGCGGTGCAGGTGGTGTTGCAGGG